AAGCACAAACACGAGATGCTATGTTAGAAGGGACTCACAGTGTGCCTCAGAGTCTTAACGAGTTTTCTTTAGGGAACTGAAGACTACAATATCCTAAATGTAAAATAATTATGTTAAAAGATTAATCAGGATTTCAGAAAGATGGAGGCAACAGTGCAGTTTTGAATGTCCCTAAACAAAGAAAAGAAAAAGACACATTTGGCCTAGAGGCCATGGAAATAGAAGAAAGAAAGCCAAACCCTGGCATAGCATTTACCACAAAAGTATTGAACAGTTCTTCCTAGGAACCTCAGAACAAGAGGATAGGGAAAACCCCCAGCAGGAGGCACCAGACCTGCATAGCAGCAGCACTTGCAGCAGAGGAAATGGGAGACAGGAGGCTTTCAAAGCTCCAGCAGGCATTCCTGCAAAGCACTGTGGGCCAGCAGGAGAAGAGCAGCTGACACACAGAGGGGTTAGCTGACACTAACCTGGAAGTTAGTACATTTGGTCTCATATATCCATAGGTTCTACATCTGTGAATTTAACCGACTTCAGGTCAACAATATGCAAAAGAAAAATCACATCTCTACTAACTATGTACAGATTGTTTCTTGTTATTATTCCCTAATCAATATAGTACAACAAGTATTTACAAATTATTGTCATTGTATTAAGTATGATAATTAGAGATGATTTAAAGCATACAGGAGGATGTGTGCATTGTCTATGCAAATACTACCTCATTTTAAATAAGTTTACATAATAAGGATACAGTTTCTAATGGAATGGAACAATGACTTCATCCCTTTCTCTCTCTACCTTTTCTCTCCCTGTTCCCACCACTCTGCCTCCTCTACCCTACTTATTCTCTTTCTGGTCTCCTTCTCCTCCTTTTTCTCCTTTTCCTTCTTCTTTTCTTCTTGAGTTATTTGTGGATTTTAGTGTCTGTGAGGGGTCCTAGATGCAATTCTCTGTGGATACTGAGGAGCAGCTATAAGTACAACTGTTCCACGTTCAAACCTAAAGGGCTGACACTGTCCGGCCCCTAAACTCTCTTGAAAAATGAACAGCCAATGCTCCTTTTCAGAACATGGCCCCCGCACAGAAGAGAAATTGCTGGGAGGAAAAATAGACACAAAGGATAAAACTTGCAGGTGGGAAATGGCCAGAAGATCTTAGAAAGCAAGCCACCATGTTTTTGAATAGTACAAGTAGAAGGGGAAGAAGGAAAAGGAGAAAAAGCAGGAGAAGAAGACTAGAAAGAATAAGTAGGGTAGAGGAGGCGGAGGGGAGGGAAGAGGGAGAGAAAAGGAAGAGAGAGAAAGGGAGGAAGTCATTGTTCCATTCCACTAGAAACTGTATCCTCTGACACACTTTTACAAAGACAACGAATTTCACATAAAAATGCGTAGCAAGAAAAGATGGAAACCAGATCCCATATAAAGATATTCTAAGAAAAAGAATTGCATTCTCTCAATGATAACAAGTCCAAAAAGAACCCACCAAGCAGATCAGATGGTAAACAACTCTTTCAAACCTAGCTCAAAGACATTACATAAAACAATGCAAAATGTGACAGAACATGAAAGAGGAATGGGGAATTATTATTTCATGGTTAGAGAGTTTCCGTTTGGGATGGTGAAAAGTTTTGGCGATGGATAGTGGATAATGCTTGAACAACATTGTGCATCTACTTAATACTATGCCATTATCTACTTAAAAATGGTTGAAACGGTGAGTTCTATGTTATATGTGTTGTTCCACAGTAAAAAGAACAATGTAGGGCTGGGGTTGTGGCTCAGTGGTACAACAGTTGCTTAGCATGTGTGGAGCACTAGGTTTGATTTTCAACACCACATATAAATAAGTAAAATAAAGGTCCATTGACTACTAAAAAAAAAAAAAAGAAAAACATAAATGGAAATTAGATGAGATGGTAGAACTCAAATGACAAAACGGGAACACAGAGAGTAAATGAACATAAAAATAGTACCTAAAAGATGATTAAAAAATATTCCAGAGACAATGGTAAATATAAAATGAAAAAAGCCAGGCAAGTTCTACAAACAATAATGCAAACACACATAGGAATTTAGTATGCCAAAAAAGTGACATTTCAAATCAGTAGGACAGATTATTCAACAAATTGTGATACATATATTTTGGGGTTAAATAAATAATATCTCTGGAAGGATCCAAAAAGTAGGAAAAGGTTATGTCTCCTGTGGGAAGAGTGGTGAAGATGGTGGGTGGAAAATTGGAGGGAATGGGTGGATTTCCATTGAGTACTCTTTTGTATCTTTTTAAGTGTTCTATTGTGTGAATATATTACTTCCAAATGTTGAATGCCAGAGTTCAAATCCCACATTCCCAATTAAATGGTAGTCCTTAATCTTGAGCAAATATTGACATTATCTCTTAAAAATCAAGAGGCTGAGCATAACTTTCAGCCCCAAATTCTCAATGAATGAAATTACTAGTGAAAACAACCCAATGCCCACAGGGGATGTATGGATAAACAAAAGATGGTGTATCCACACAATATGATATCAGGCAGTCTTAACTGGGGAGGAAAGACTCACACTTCACAGCATGGATGATGATCCTTGAAAATAGTCTTCTAAGTGGGAGAAGCCATTTATAAAGGTCACATATTGTATGATTCCTCTTATATGCAATGTCCAGAAAAAGGAAACCAGAGGGATTAATGGTTGCTTGGGGCCAAGGGATGGTGGGAGTGGGAATGACCACTAACACGCACAAGTGTTTCTTTTTGGGATTATGAAAATGTTATGAATTAGAAAGTGGTGATGGTTACACAACTCGTGAAAGTCCTTAATGCCCATGTACTGCACGTTTTTAATGAAGAATTTTATGCGAATTTTATTTTAAGAAAAAATTTAAAAATATAAAGTACTAATCTTTCCATGGTGATGGTCTGCTGCCTCCATCATCCTCTTGCCCCACTCCATTTTTTCCCTTTTCTCCCGCCAGCTCCCTCAGTGGGCATCTGCGCCCCAGGACTCTTACCTGGCACAGAGGCTGCGCAACTAACCCAACCGTTGGATTGCTGGGTGCTGCAGTTTAGGTTGCTTCCTGCGCATGCGCACTTTACTCGCGGCGGGTGGAGATAAACGCCAAGAACTGATTTTTTTCTTGTGAGTTTCGGTTGATGGCAATGGTCTCCGAAGGGGCGCGTGCCGGAATCAATGGAGGAAGACCTGACCGCCAAATAATTCAGTATTTATCCCCCATTTKAAGTGTGATCTCTCTACTGGTRACCTCTGGAAGCTGTGCTCTGAAAGCCAGGTTGGTTGCCTGCTGAGCACTTGCCAACCCTGAGGATTGAGGCCACAGGCCTCAGGTTGAGGCCTTGCTTCTCTGCGTACAATTTGATCCTAGAGCACTAGATCATTAGTGAAGTGTCAGAGTGATACTGGCCTTGTGTGTGAATGTTAATTGAAGTAGTGCCTCTCTGCTGCCCTGGTGCATGAGTGTTGGGTAAATGATGACTTATTCCAGGCCATGTTCTGGGTGGGCCTCATGCTGCTGAGTTCACTTGGCCAAGTTCCAGTTATCAGCTTCCCTCAGGGTAACTGAGAACCCTGTAACACCCCTGGTAGATTCCCCATGTTTTGTATTCACCTTTCCCAGCTGGGATCTTCAGTGACCCAAATATGCTGGAATATGCCATGAATCTTATTTTGTAAAATGCCTCTCAGGTAGGTCATAAGACCTAGGCCATTCTCCATGAGAACTTTTGGTTTGATTTTTGCATTTTTTCTGGTCAACATGAACCCATCTTCTGGCATCTTCAAGTTGCTTCACATTTTATGCTTTTAAACCTACCCTCAAACTTTGTTTTTTACTACCACCATTTTGCCTATTCCTGATTCTTCCAGTAAGCTCATACGTCTCTCTCTTTAATGGATCATATTCCTTCCTCTTTCCTCAATTCCTAGCCTTTACCCTTATAATCCTAGCCAAGTTTGAGTTCCTTTCTTCTCAGGCAGACTGTGATCCTCACCTCTACCAAACAATACCAGAGTTAGTGGCAATTCAACCTCAAGAGTCCTCTTTATTACTTATATATTAATCAATTCCATTACATTTCTTTATTCAATTTTATTGTTTTAAAAGTATACCTGTGTGAATAAGTTTTCATACCTCTATGAGGAAAAATATTTTACAGCCAAGTGGTTATAGAAGGCTTCTTTATTATCTGTTAACCAATTCTATTACAATTCTTTATTCAAATTTGAATATTTATTGGAATAAATAAATTTGTACCTACATAACTACACATTTAAAAATATTTGTATGTACATATACGTGCAAAACTATGTGGTGCCTAAGTGGTGCCAGGAAGCCTCTTTTTTTACTTACCTCTCAATTCTATTACATTTCTTTATTCAACTATATTAAGTCTTAAAAATGTATAAGTGAATAATTTTGTATTTATGTACCTCTCTCTMTATATATATATGTAGAAAACTATTTGGTATTCAAATGGTACCATAAGGCCTCTTTATGACTTACCTATTAATCAATTGTATAGCATTTATTTTTTTTTAATATTTATTTTTTAGTTTTTGGTGGACATAACATCTTCGTTTGTATGTGGTGCTGAGGATCGAACCCGGGCCACACGCATGCCAGGCGAGCGCGCTACCCCTTGAGCCACATCCCCAGCCCCAGGTATAGCATTTCTTATCTCAACTTTATTACATTTTGAACAGTGTCTTAATGAAAGAAGTTCTATCTATCTATCTATCTATCTATGTATATATATGCCACATTATTGGTACCCATGTAGTAGCCAAAGGCCTCTTTAATTTTACGAATTGTCAGTGGTACCAGAAGTCCTCTTTATTATGTATTAGTGAATTATATTACATTTTTATTTAATTTTATTAAACATTGAATGTTTATGAGAATAAATAAATGTGTATCWCTCTATCTATATACATGTGGAAAACTATTTGGTCCCTAAGWGGYACCACYGATCTTARCAGCTCTTACATTGTGTAGCCATAGTAGCGAGAAATCTCCATCTCTCTTTCCCTCTCAATGAAACACTGCACTCTCCCCAAAGCAGTGTACTTGGCAGCATTCTCACGCTCTTGTTGAGCCTTCTTCTTCATGGCTTCCCGCTCTGGCCTCTGCTGTTTGGTGATGGGAGTTGATACTACTTGCCCAGGAACATTGGGTTTCCTCCATGGAATTGGTTGTAAGGCAAAGTCTTGGAGGAGATATTGGTTTTGAGGCTTGGTCAGTTGTGACTGGGGCTTGGTCACAAGCATGGGAAAGGGTTACTACTGGAGAGAGGTGCAAGATGGTGTTTTGTATGGTGTACGCCCATAAGAAGCAGACCGAGAAACACTAGGCTGGGTAGAAGAAGTCAAAACAGACTGATTGGCATGGTTCAAAATGGGCTGAGCTGGTTTGGCAGGACGCAACTAAGATGGGTTGGCAGTAGCTGGTTGGGATTGGTTGACTGCCATGGGTTGAGCTGAGCTAGCGGGACGAGGCTGGGCAGGGTAAGCCCCAGTAGGTCTCTGTGAGGCCAGAGACTGTGGCCTCCGATTGATTACTGGTTGAGGTGGAGGTTTCTCCAGGGTCAGAAAAGGCAAAGGTACCAATTTAACCTTCCCAGGTGGTGGAGGCTCATAAATGGATGGAGAGGGACCCTCTCCTTCAGAACTGATATCAGGGTTTTGGGCTTTAACTTTGTGTTTTCTCAGGACCTTAACTACCAGCCATGGGTGGGGGTCTAGGGTACTGCCTGAATTTCCCAGGGCCCGGGAGGAAGAGAGCTCAGTTTTCTTATCATTCTTCTTCCCCAGTGCGTGGAAAACCTGCACCGACTCCAGTATGTGCATGTCGAGACAACTCCGAGGCTTTTTAAAGGTCTCTTGGCAAAGCTCAGGTTGGTTCCTCTTCCGCTTTAGTTTGGGCACAGTTGGCTTCTCTTCTGCCTTGACTTTATTGCCTGGCTGCTTCCTCTCCTTGGCTTTCCTGGAGTTGTTTTCTCTGGTCCTCTTGGTCTTTTCCTGCCCATGGCCCTTAGCCTTGCTGTTCCTGCTGGATGTAGCTTTCTGAGGTTTGCTGATAGAGTGCTTGGGCTGTGTGCACAGGGCCCTTACTACTGTCTGCATCCCTGTGAGCAACTTCTCCTCCTAATGCACATTCCAGGTCCCTTGGCTGCATTTTGGCCTGAGGAGTTCCATGAGGAGACTCTGAGGCTTTATGTTTGTTTTTCCTCACTGGGTCACTAGGACCCTTTATGGCACTTGTGATTTCCTGCCCCTGATTCACCATGATGGCTCTGGTGTCATTGGATTTTGTTATTGTGGGACTTTCAGGTTGGTCAAAGTCTTTCAAGGAACTGAAAAGCTCAGGAAGGTGAAAATCTCCCACCAGTGCAGTGATGTCTGCAAAACCACTACTAGATTCAATCCCATTTTCAAGTGTGCCTTGGTCCTCAAGACTCAGGCTATTCCTTTCTAGATGGATATTTTCAGAATGTGGCTTCTCCTCTTAGTCCAGAGGACCAATGGAGGCCAGAAGCTGGTGGATTTCAGGGATGTCTAAAGGGAGTAGTGGAGGATCCTGGTTCTCCATGGCAATCTGGTAGGCATCCAGTGGTTCTGAGAGCATGGTGTTAATCTCACACAAATTCTTAATTTCTGTTTGTTCCTGGCTTTGATTTGGAGGAAATGCCAACAAATCAGTAAAACTCTGGACTGGTGTTATTGTGGAAATGTCCCCAAGTTCAGTTTGTGAGTTTTTCTGAATTATTTGGCTTTTTCTGTTTTTGCAGGTGTACAGGAATTCTGGAGGCTGTGGCAGACAAAATGTCTGACTTGGAGATTGCAATCCCAAGGAATCTTCCATCTCTAGGGATGTTTCCATCACTGCAAAGAAAGGAATCAAGGATGATGGTAAGTAGGATGCTCCCCCTTCCCAGCAACGCACTAATCAGGGAATCTGTGGACTGTGGATATGTCATTTCTATTAGCTCTTTTTAAGGACTGCAAACTAGTCTCTGTTAGGAGGTGCCTGTTAGTTACAAGTGATCACTTGATGACACAGTTTTGGGCTGACACATTATCATGGCAGCATGGCTCACTGGTAGAGCATTGTCTACTCTGTGTGGAAATGCACAAAAACTGTTTTATGAAATCTCTCATTCTCATATAGGGCCTCTTAATTCTCTCTACTCTTCCCAGAATGTAAGAACACTTAACATTATGAACTAGGAGAGCGTGAGCTCTTGCCCATGAAAAATATGTGAAAGGACAGATTTTTAGACCCCTGCTTTGGATAGCATCATTGCATAGAAAATTTAAGTCCTGCAGTAAATTAAGGAAAAATTATATTGTCACACTCTGATATGTTTTGCAGTATCTTCCTAAGAGATCAAATAAAATTAGGGAAATAAATTTATAATGTTGTGGTGTAGGGGGACTGATCCGCAAAAATTGTGACAAGTAGCCTCCTTCAGTGTCTTGGAGGTCTCTTAAATGCATCCTGGGTGGCCATTATGGTGTCCTGCATTCTTGTTTTGAGAGTCTGAAAATGTGGAGTGCTAAACAAGGATGGTGGTTAAAGTCTCAGGACTTAAATACTACAGGTCTGTGGACCCACAGCTATCAGTTGCAATCTGGACCCTCAATTAAATGGTAATCTAATCCTTCCCCTTCTTGCTGATTGTACTCACCTTGAAAAACATTTTCTGTAATAGGTTGAGTGAATACCGAGCAGTAGATCCCAGGGTTAGAGACTGATGGTAGGGCATTTGTGGGCTGAACCTTCTGCAGCACTGTCACCGTTTCTGGTTGAGGGGCAGCGGCACTACTTCCTACATATGGCACACAGTCATAGGATTGCAGACAGGAACCATGTTCTCCAGAGAGCAGATTCCCCAGAGTGTTTTGATCAGAGTAGTAGACCTGGCTTCCTTCTTGGTAGGGAAGTGAGAGGCTATGTTCCTGATTTGGAATCTGAGATGGTGTCTTCTGAACAAGCCTGGCATATACTGATGGACACACAGAGACCATGACATTGGTTTCAGAAGTTTTTGCATATTGGGATGTCATAGTCATGGAAGAACCTGCTATGTCCTGGTCAGTGAGAATCAGATTAAAGTCCCTGAGTGAAGATGAGCTCTTTTCAGCACATCCTGGGATATACCACTCAGAAACACTTGGATAGGAGGCAGGTGCCGTGGTGATCTGGTTCTGGCTAGTAACTCCAGACACCATGGCTGTGCTAGAATGTTGACAAAGGTAGGCACTGCCCATGAGTGTCTGGAAGGAGGTGCCACAGTTGAGGGCAGTAACCATGCTGAAGTGGCAGCTGGAGCAGAGGCTCTGGAGAAGTTGCAGACACTTCCTGTCAGAGAAGCTGCGTTGGTCACACAGGAAGAGAGAGCTGCAGAGAATGTGCATTTCCATGTGAAGAAGAATTTTGGAAATTTTCTGTAGGAAGAAAGAGGGTGGTGAAAATGTGACGAGACTGAGAGATTCTTATGATATCTCTGGATGAATATCATCCTAAGGTTGTGGCAGTCAGAAATCATTGAGATACCCCAAATCAAACCATTTAGGATCGCTGCAAGTGTGGGAGCAGTTTGGTATTCTTGTTCAACTGTCTTTTCTGTCCAACTGGACACAGTAGACCCAAGTGATCTGCTTCACTCATTGTTTTCTAAAAGCATCCTTCTCTCTGCCCTCTCTTTCCTTTGAGAGGGCCATAGTATTAACTTATGAATATGCCCTAGAGCTGAAGCATTTTAGGACTTTGAGAAAACTTAACATTAAAGGTTTGTAAGTGAGGAAACCGAAGCTCAGAGAAGTAAGATTGATTTGTTCAGTATCAGTACCAGGTCATAGAAAATTACTCCCTTGCTCAGACTCTTTGCTCTAGACAAAGAGCACAAGTCAGGGAAATAGAATTTTATTTTTCCCTCTTCATAGAAAACAGTCCTGGTATCATCACTGTTATCTTTAGTGTCCTGCTCACCTGCCATTTTCTAGAGTTTACTTGTACCCTTCAGATGGTATATTTAGTGGATCTTTCTTTACCCTCTTAAACCTGGCTTTTGATGCTACATCAAAATGACTACCTGAGAGTAATTTTATCAAGAAATGCTTTCTGGAAGAAAAACTGTTATTTAAACTCTATGAGATTCAGGTTACTACTCTGGAAGGTGGTTACCATAATACTAACAGTGATAATTCATCCATGAATCAAAATCATGTATTACTTAAGGTTCATATGAAGGAATATAAAGTATGTTCTGGAAAGACAGAAAGGAAAAAATGAAAAACAGCATAGAACTAAAAAGAATGCATAGATACTGATGAAAACTTGGACATGTAGCAAATTTACTAGCAAATGAAGTTTGGTTATCATGCATAAAATATTATGAAAGAGAATGTTTCTAGTCTATTTTCCTGAATACTGTTAACTAAAACGCTGCCCACCATTAAAGGTGATTTTAAATGAATTTCTATGCAGTACACATAGGCAGAGAAACTATCAGCCAACATAAGCAGCAAAATTAAGAAAAAGTAAACATATAAATAGCCACAATGTTTGTAGCTACCTATTTCAAAATAAGTGTTATATAGCCAGCTGCAGTGGCACAAACCTGTAATCTCAGCTACTCAGGAGCATGAGGCAGGAGGATTGCAAGTTTGAGGAAGGCCTTGGCCATTTAGTGAGACACTGTGTCAAAATAAAATTTTAGAAGGGCTGGGGCTGCAGCTCCTTGGTAGAGTACTTGTCTTGTACATGTGAGGCACTGGGTTCAAGCCTCAGCACCACATAAAAATGAATAAATGAAGATATTGTGTCCATAAAAAGGGGGGTTCTGGGGATGTAGCTCAGTGGTAAAGTGTCTCTAGGTTCATTTCCTGGTACTGCAAACCAATCACTTTCCCACCACATGCAAAAAGCAAAAACCAAAGCAAAACCCCACTATGAGTGGTTGGGTGGGCCTGTGGTCCCAACATTCAGGAGGCTGAGGCTATGGGGTTGTTGGAGCCCAGGAATTCAAAACCACCATGGACAATTTAGCAAGATCCTGTCTCAGGACCTCAACAAAATGTGCTGGGGATATAGATTGTGGTAGCATGCCTGCCTAGCATGAATGAGACCCTGCATTTCAATTGCTGCATTCATTTCCCAGCACTGGAAAGAAGAAAGAAAGGAAGGAGGGAAAGAAGGAAGGGAAGGAAAAAGGAAGGAAGGAAGGAAGGAGGGAAGGAAGGAATTAAGGAAGGAAGGAAGGAGGGAGGGAAGGAAGGAAGGAAGGAAGGAAGGAAGGAAGGAAGGAAATTTTGGCCAAAGTATAGAATGAAACAAGAAATGTAAAGTTATTTCATCACTGTGCTTGTTCACCTTCCTCTAAATATTACCCACACCAAATAAATGGTATGAATTTTACTATTAGAGATTTCAATTAATATAAAAACATTTTCTGATAAACATTTCAGTCAAAAATCAGGAAAAATGCTTGAAAATGAGCATAAAATTTACTTTTGTTCTTCAAAATCTAGTTTATAATCATGTTTAACAGGAATATGTTGTCTCTAAAGTCTGAAAAAAACATTACCACTAGAATATAATAATACATTTAAATCTAATTTTTTTGATGGTTACTGGTGCTGGGAAGTGAACCCAGGGCTTCCCACATGCCAAGCATGCACTCCGCCACTGACCTACACCCTCAGCCCATATAGAACAACCAGATAGAGGGGCTGGGGCTGGGGCTCAGTATTAGAGAGCTCGCCTAGCACACGTGAGGCACTGGGTTCATGCCTCAGCACCACATAAAGATAAAGGTATTGTGTCCAACCTCAACTAAAAAAAATACATATTAAAAAAAAGAAAACCCAAAAAGACTTCATAAAATTATTTTAGATAAATGTGGAATTAGAGATGTGGAGCTTGAATTTTTGTCCTTCTGTAGGTCTCTCTTTTGAGTTTTAGGTTTAAAAACCATTAATCAATCTTGATAGGTATTCTATTTTAGAGAGTAAACTCTTGGAAAACTACCTGTCACACAAAGGAATGTGTTCTTCTGATGTAGGTTAATGCACATCAGTTTTTCAAACTCCAAGTAGTTCAAAAATCAGAGTAAAGCAGGACATGAAGAATGCTCTTGCCCCAGCCCTGTCTATAACCACTTTCATGACATGTTTGTATGAAGAGTCATTTCTAAAACATACTTCTAAAATGTTCATGTTCAAACTGTCAACATCATCGGTGTTCAAAGAGGTCATAGAAAAACTATAACAGCCAAGTGTGACTTTTCTGATAAACTGCTTACCCCAGTGATACCCTAATTCAAGTCTTAGTTTCCTTGCTAGTCCCTTAATCCAAACAATCTCTAAACCAGCCTCTGGGAAGATTGCATTCTATGCTGTCTGTTGGTTTAAATAAAATCTTTGCTTTTTCTTTCACATTCATCTCAACTAACCTCCTTTTTCTTGAGAACATCATGCTCTTCATTTCTTTTATTCTGACATTTTCTTCTCCCTTATTTTTATATACTCTTCCTCCACCGAGTTCCTGTTGCCTTGTGCTTAAACAGCCTGAAACTTGCTTCTCCCAAAACATCTGCCTCCTTACAGCCCTGTCCTCCTGCTCCTCTCTCCCTCTTTCTCTTTTCACCTAGTTTAAACAGAAAACTCCCAAATATATGAATGTCCCTTTTATGAATAGCACTAAATTTGAAATACTGAAGTGGAAATCTTGGTAGAGGGAAACTGTTCCAGGAAACCTCTTGGTTTCCACCCTGCCTAGGATTTGTCTCTTTCGGTTGAAACAAACACAACCATGAAAACTTATTTCATTCTCTATAAACATGTCCCTGAAGGGTCAATATTAGAAAACAAAGGGATCAGAGCATGGGCAGTCTGTTATCCTCCTGTAGCAGATCAGGAAACAGATTTTGTGAGAGAGTTAAAGATGGTCCAGCCCCATACCTAGTACATGTCAAATTCCAAATGAAATTAGATGTCCAGATTTCTAGTTCCATCCTTTCCCCTATTATTCTTAGCTCTTTTGACTCCATTAGTAAATTAAAGCAGGGAAAAGTCTAATGAAAAACTTTAAAAAGTTTCTTTCCTTACCTGACATGGTCAGAGAAGAGGTCACATCAATTGCAAATACAAAGGATGAGGAGACCACCCCAGAGGATGTGTGGGTGGCTGAGGCTAGAGAATGCATGTTTCCCAGTATGGAGTTCACTGGTCAGTGTTTACTGGCCACTGGTTACTGGTCACTGGTCACTTGCGATGATCCAAATTTGTTTACAACTGCATGGCAAGCCTAAGATTCTAKCAGGTGGCAGTAGGTTTGGTGGGGGAATGATGTCACAAAACTGTCAGTTTAAAGGTATGAGGTAGCCAATAGGGTGGTCAGATTCCCAATGAGAAATTGGGATTGGGTGGGGAAAATGACAAGAGAGTTGATTGGGTGGAGAAAGTGACAGGAGAGTTATAATAGAAACCAAATGGCTCAGTTCTGGTAGGTTAAACCCTGCAAGAGGGACATAATGGGCTCACCCCATGGCTCCCCTCCCACAGGCCCTTGTGTTGGGGATATATTCTCAGTGTTCCTTCTACATGTTCATTAAAATATAATGAATAGGTTATAAATTATGTTTCACAGTATAAGAGGTAATAGTGATACATTACTATATTAACATATACAGTTAATATCCCTGGAGATGGAAGAAAGAGACATCTMGGTTGAGCAAGTATAGTAGTTCTGGAACCATAGAAGTTGATTTGATTAGTGAAGTTACTGCAGTTTTCAAGGATTCAGAAAGGGTTTAAAATTTTTTTTTTGTTTTAGTTGTAGATGGACACAATACTTTTATTTTATTCATTTATTTTTAAGGGTGCTGAGGGTCAAGCCCTGTGCCAAACACATGCTAGGCTAATGTTCTACCACTGAGCCACAATCCCAGCCCTCGGGTGAAGTTCCTTGAGTGCATTCTCTGGGGAATGATGTGGCCCAAGATTCTCTTTAGTTTCTCCTTGACCCTTACTTTCTTTGGCCTGGGCTGGGCCAGGTTAGACTGGTAACTCTCTTCTGCTCTCCTTCCCCCATCCCTCTTCATTGTAGACATTTTTTCATGGAGAAGCCCTGATTCTGCATTCTTATACACATTTATGTTACTTTCTTTTTACTTCCAGAAGCAGGGGTCTTCTTTTCTGTGAGTTGATTCTTTGAAAAATGAACTCTGAACAATAGCAGAAACTCTAGAGAGGTGGAAGACCTAGCTGACTGTAAAATTTCCCTCTCTGGATTTTTGTTGTACTCCTTTAACTTATAACTCCCTGAGGACAGCTCCTTGGCCATGTAGACTTTGTGCCATCAGCCTCTTTCATGTGTGAGAGGCACTGAGGATCCTTTCTCTCTTCTCATGTAAGAGGATCCAGTGTGGCAGTTACTGTGACTTCCTCCCCCATGCAAACAKCCACTATAGAATCTTGGGCTTCTCACATTCTTTGTCTTGCATGTTTGGGTGGAAGGCCAGGAGAATAGTTAGAACATTAGAATAACATCAGAAAGTATGGATAACATAAAGAAAATAAAGGTTAACATGGATTTTTAAATTTTAACTTTTTGTTAGAAACAAGTCAACTCATTTGGGTCTCATTTTGTGTTAAAAGAGTCAATTCTTTTTTTTTTTTTTTTTTGCTTTCGGGGGCCCTGGGAATTAAAACCCGGGACACTTTCCCATTACATCACATCCCCAGCCCCTTTTTATTCTTCTTTTGAGACAGGGTCTCACTATGTTGCTTAGGGCCTTTCTAAGTTGCTGAGGCTGGTCTTAAACTTTCGATCCTCCATCTTCAACCTCTTGAGTTTCTGAAATTATTGGTGTGTGCCACTGCACCTGGCTGATTTTATATATATAAATTAAATACATATATAAAAATTAAACATATTTTAAAAATATATATGTATAAATTAAAAATATATATATATATATATATTTAAATAGCTACACTGAAAGCCCAGAAACTGACATGAATTCTATACAGTGGAGATAAAAATCTTAAGTCTTATTTTCTTTTATGTCATATGATCTCATTTTTGTCACTCATTAATGTGTTTGTAGTGTATGGATAGCTCTTTAAGGCTCTGAGTTTTCAGCTCACTTTTCTTTTTGTCATATTTTAAAGAAATCCAACATTGTAAGATATATTGCATG